GGCACCACCATCCTTCACGCTCTCAATAAGGGTAACATTAAAATCTCCAATCATTACAAAAGGTTCCTAGAGCTCTTCACGAATTGCGCGTATAAGAGTTAACTGGGTAGCCCGTCAAGGCATCATTACAACTCAAATAAACGCCAACCACCACATAAGAATAATTATTCTCATTAATGCGAGTACAAATGCAGAAATTGGAATGGAAAAACACCGAAGCATCAACTCTGGGGGACCAAGCATCAACTAGACCACCAGATGCGTTAATAGCATCGACATAAAGACAATGAGAAGACTCAAAACCGAAGCCCCGCATACGACGGGTAACTACTCTCCGGGACGATCTTGTTTCAGAAAAGAAAACAAGGTTCGGTTTATTCGAACGAACCAAACCGACAACTGTTTGAAATGTGAGGGATGGTCCAATTCCTCTCACATTCCAGGCTAGAAGCCTCATTTATCCGGTTGGGGCCATTCGCGGGTGGCTTCCTCCACCTTTTCAATAGTATCTTGTTCCTCCACAAACTGTTTTTTGGGTGTGGGACTAGCCTCAATACCACCCTCCACCTCATCAAACGACCGCTTACGAGTCTCATTATCAAAATTAGACCGTATTCGTTGAGCTTCGAGATCATTATCCCTTGTGCCTCCTTAGCCATATCCTTTTCTTCATTTATACTCATACTAGCTTCGAAGGCCGCAACCACCTGACAAACTTGCCCTGGGAGATTCTGATGGGGAGGGATAGATGGTGGCTTCCTGCTCTTTATCTCAAACTGGAGGTTGTCCTCCTCCGAGGAAGAGTCGAAGGCCGTAGGCTGCTCATCCTGTTTCTTGATAGACTCTGCGGCCACCTGGGCCACCTCCTAGGGCATTGGCCCATGGGTTTGCAGCTCTGCCAGCCCGACAGGGGAGCCTAGAGGCCCAGGCATCGACCCCTTCCCCTTAGGCAAGCGGCCCTTGGCCTGCTTCTTGCGAGCAGCCCCTACTGTTTTGCCGGATTGTGCTGAGGAAGTCCCCTTCTCCTTTCGCGTAGTACCTTTGCGGGAGGAGGCCTTTTCCATCCCATAAGTGGAAAGCCCCTTCTTGACCAGCCTTTTCCCCTTCTTTCTCCCTTCCACACTATCTTCTTTCCCCTTCGTCGGCAGCAGATGCAGGGGAGACTCATCCTCCGAATCATCGAGAATCAGCTTACGGCGATGAGCTTCCAGCGGGGTAATTTTAGCACCCGGATTTGCCGCAGTGAGGCTAATCCCCGCACCAGCAGGGATGTCAGCCTGGTCCTCGCTGCCCAACACACGGGATCAGGATGAGATCACTCGATCTCTTTCATCTCCAGCTACCTCACGTTCCCCGAATTGTTCATGACTTCGGCTAGCACTCGGCTCGTCAGTGAGAGCCCTAGCGGGGGAATGCAAGTTCCGGGAACAACCCAATTTCACCACTGGCGATCTTGAAGCCGCGTGGGCTCAGACGCCGGTACCCTGTCGCCGTCGCCGATGAGGTTGCCGCCGCTGGATCTTGAGAACGGCGGTATGGTTGGGATTGGTAATTGCCTCCCTGCTGTCCTTGACCTCCTGATCCAAAATTTCCATTCCCCTGCATCCTATAGTCTCTGTTAACCCAAATCGATTTCCCTCCACGAGGGAGGGGTTGGATTTGGTCATCATTGTCGTAGATTCGAGTCCCCAGTTTCTTGGTAGCCATATGCGGTCCGAAGTTCTCTTTCCTTGCCAGTGGATCAAAGGTGCAAGCTCGACTTGAGTGTCCCACTCAGCCGCAGTGAAAGCAGAAACTAGGAAGGTGCTCGTATTTCAAACTCACCCAGAAGCAACCAGTGTCATCATTTGCTGCCATAATATGGGATCTGAGAGGTTTGGTAAAGTCTATGAGTGCCTTGACCTTCACGGAGCAACTGCTCGTTTCCTGGCAAGCAAAGACGCCAGATTCCAAGACTTTGCCTATAGTGGCATTCACCACTTTCCTGTCAAACTGTTGCGTGCAACAGTCTTGCTTAACATTCCACAATTGGACGCGGAATGGCGCAATTGCTAGCTCCTCATAAATATGTTTTGTGATGATCGGAGTCCATGCCCGAAGATGGAGGATCTTATCATTGATCACCCATGGGGTACGTTTGAGAACCCAAGTCTTCGCTTCCTCACTGGGTAACATGAACTCAATTAGACCATGTTTCGCCAACACTACTCTGATTCGTCCCTCAATCAACCAAGGGTTGATCACCGACTCCCGCAATTCCGTAGTCGATATCCTATTCTCAGTAAAGAGCCTACTGAGAAGTGAGTGCGCAGCTCGATATTTAGTAGATTGCACCTCCTCCATCGAGAACTGAACCACCTGATCAGTCGAAACATGCGCCATTTTGATAACCTGTGAGGCATAGGGGTCAAGAATCATATTAGTGTCAACCTCTTGCAGGGGTAAAACTTCAGGCACATACGTGCCTTTCATTGGCCGATTTTCTGGCCAGGGTGCCGAGGAGCTATTAGAGAGAGGAATCCCCAACCCCTGCAGGATCGTGGAGGCAAAGGAAGGGTAAGCCAGTAGCTTTGGCAGCCGAAGGTGGAGCGGAGAGCAGAAAATTTTACCTGCGTGCGGGAGCTGCCTAGGAGAAGAAGATTTGCCCACCACTCTCGCCGTCAGCCGTGTTCTCAAGGAAGAGGAAGTGAGAACTGTTGGACAAGGGTTCAGAGTTTTATAGGGGAGATCAAATATGCTCCCAGGATTCTCCTTAACCGCTCGAAGATAGGGAGTTCGAGTTTGCCGAGAAGAAGGACTCCTTGTTTTCCAATTTTTGAGTTTATTTGTGTTTTGGAAAATCCCAACAAAATTAGGGATTAGATATTGATGAAATATTCCTCTAACAACCACCCGCCGATTAAGGACCCAGTTATGATCCTCGTCGACGGGGTAAATCCGGCCACCGGTCCAGGTGTCGGGCGATGTCGCAGGGGATTCCCCTGAATTAACTTCATTTCGATTCGGCGATCCGGCCGGTAGATCCTCGACGGGCTCTCTTAGGTCAAACAGGGACCTCGCACCATCATCAATCAAAGAGTTACCCATGGACCTCGCATCACCGTCAATCAGAGGAGGAACATGTATCATCCTAGCTTCTACTACCAGCTGATCCGGTTTCTTGCTTTCCAGTTCTTCCATGGAAGGGATTACAAACCTCCAGACAACCATTCATGATAGTCGCCGGCGTTTGTTGAAATCGAGAACTTTGTTCTCTACTAGGACAAGCCCAAGCTTCCGCTTCTTTTGCCATTCCTTTGGATGGCGGTTTCCTCTACAAGCAAATCCATATCTATGCTGGCAGCCATCACGACGCTTGTGCCAAATAGGGGGAACCCAGGGATTCCCAGGCTCTGTCTCTAAACTTATTTGAAGAGGCGAGGACCCAACTGCTCGCTATGCGCCCAATCCTGCGTGAGACACTGATTTCGCAGACAGTGAAGGAAGATTGCATGGATCATTGAAAGCAGGAGGCACCCAAGCTCTCGTCCCAGGCGGAGGAGAGAGGGGAGAGCTCCCTGCATAGTTTTTTTTTTAGAGAACCAAGATAAAAATATATTACCAATATAAAGAGAATAAATATGTCATTTTCATTTTTAAACAAGGGTGATCATAATAAAAATAAGGTGACAATTAACAATCTAATATATTTTTTAAAAATATTAATTATAGTTAACCCTTTTAAATTTCAAAAGGGTAAATACAATTTAATAGTCAAACCTTTCGTTTTAAACAAAATAATAGGCAAACCAGTTCAAAAACATAATAATAGCCTAGCTGTTAACTTTCTATCCGATCAACAGTTAGTTGGCTCTAATGTGACAGTACTTTTAATAAGATGAAGATTTTTTGATGAGATAACAAGAAGTCCCATATTTGACCATGTCACATAATTAATTATTAATATTAACCAAATAATAAATTACTTATAAAAAATAAAACTAAACTAAATTAACTCTTTTTCCGCATCTTTACCCCTTCTTTTCTTTTTGTGAATTTGCATTTTCACATTCCTTTTGCTGTTTAATTAATGCTCTACAAATCTGAATATAATATAGAGCAACTTTCCGGGAACGGATTAGGTCAGTGACCTTATGATTAGTAATCATAAGTAATCTGTTCACATCAGCATGACATCAGTATCCCTTTTTCTTCTGGAAAGTCTTTTATCTTTTCCTCTTTAATCTTTACCCGTAATTTCTCTCTCATTTTAAGTCGAAATTTAATTTTTTTTACACAGATAAATCAGATTAAATGTGCTCTTTAAAAGATATCCACTTTGGTATATTTTTAGTACAAAAAAATTGAATAATTTTTTACCAGTCATTACCATATGATATGCTCCTATTTAATACCATACGGTAAGAAAGCGTACCATGATGGTATGAACATACCAATACAGTAAGAAGGTTGAATACATGATAGTAGGAGTATACTAACTGTCATTTACGACTTTCATCATTGTTTACTACAAGTATGATAATTTTTAGTTTAGTATTTTTTTCACCAGAAATTTGTAGATTCAATAGATTATGATGAACTCGTTCCTTCTGAGCAAACGTTTTCAAAAACGAGTTAAAAACGAAGAAGTTACCGTATGGTATGTAGTTGGTAAAAAAAAAAATTCTCGAAATATTTTAAAATTAATTTCATTTTGTAGAGCACAACGACCGGATGTAAAGAATTAACTAATTTGGTTGATCAGATATAAAGTTTAGGAAAAATGTGGCTATTAAGTTGTATTTACCCAACTAAAAATGAGCAAAAACAATACTTCTATTTACTGGAAGTAGTGCGTGCTAGCCTAACAAATTATGTGCTCGCACCAACTTTGGCGCTTCACGGTAAAGGTCTGAGCACTCCTTCTCCTCTAGCTAGAAGTTAAAACCCTTTCTCGCGTCTGCCTTGATCTCGGCTCTAGAGGTAAGGTACTTTCATCTGCTATTTCCTATCCATGGTGGTCGTAATTGTCTCTCTGCACCAGATTTCTCTGTTTTTTTTCTTTTTTCTTTTTGCTGATGCTTATCTTCCCTTCTTTCGTTGTCCGTGAGTGCTTTCTCTTTCAGCGTTTCCTGTGCCGTCGTCTGATTTTCTGGTGAGACAGAAATTGGATAGTTTTTTTCTTTAGTTTTTGTTCTCCTTTGTGTTTTCTCTGGAGAAGTTAATGGGATGTACCTTTGGTTTTTTCTCCGTTGTTTGATTGCCGGAAATGTGCGGTTTTACTTCCCTTTCTCATGGAAAATTCTCTATTGTTTATGGGTTTTCTCTCCTGCTGTTAGAGGAACTTGAGGAAGTCCGATTTATTGGTTCCCATACTGGATATTTCGTCAAGAAATCAAGTTCTCTGGTGTAATTAGGAATTAGCCAGCCATGCCAGACGTGCAGGCCCTCGTTAATGAGTTCCTCAATAAGCTTAAGAAACGGTGAGTTTGGGGTTTTCTCGGTTGGAATTTTGCCGTTGAATTAGAGGCTTAGCTTGTGTGAAAATTTAAAATTGGATGAACTCTTGTTGGGTAGTAAAATTGAGGGATCCCAGGCAACAGCAAAGCAGACTGCTGAACTCCTGCGCTCAGTGATTTCACAGCAACGGGTGCCTCGTACTAATCAGGCTGGAGCCTTGATTGATGCTGTTAGAGCTATCGGAGAGCAGCTTATTGTTGCAAATCCTATTGGTATGTCTGTCCAGTTATTTTCTTATGCCCATCTCTAATTTACATGAAGTTCTGAAGGACAAATCTTCAATTGGACAGGCTTTGAAATTTCTGAAATCTGATAGTTGACCAGAGATTATACTGATACAAATTGTAGTTATGCAAAGAGGTATATTGAATGACCAAAAATTCGCATCTCATGAATCTGAATCTGATGTATCCAAGATTGGATTGCTTCTGCTTGGCTCACCTGTCATAGAGTTCCCAATGTCTCTTTTCTATTAATGTTTCTTTTGTTACATATCTGGTTGCAGAGCTTGCTGTGGGTAATATTGTGAGGCGTGTTTTGCACATTATTAGGGAAGAGGATCTTTCATTGACAACAGCTGCTGTTGCGGAGTTAAATTTATCAACAGTGAGTGATGATGATGATGATGGTGGTGGTGGTGACCAAGATGATCGTCCAGTTCTATCAGCAGCGGCTGTTGCTGCTGCTGCAAGGAACACCCTTCGTCCACCGTCCTTGCAAATGTTGCTGGAGGGTGCACCTGACTTTGTTGCCGTTCCTCGATCATCTTCTTCTGGCGGTGATTCTGAAGGGAAAAGCAAATGTAAGATATCCTTTCTTTTCCTCCACAAGGTCTGTGATTGACACAGGATCTGTTGCTGTTCTGCTAGTCAGAACAATTGCATAAATAAATTGGTCGTCATGGGATGGGACTCATCTTTTCTAAAATTTCTTGTTCAAGGTTTCATGTACTTATCTTATGCCATCAAGATACCGAACTGACCATTCTCTATGGCCCTTTTTATTTTCGATAGAAAATATGTTTATTGAATCTCTTACTGTACCTGACAGCTATGGATAGAAATTCAAGAACTCGAAAGCTGAAACATGATATCATTGAGGCAGTTAATGAGCTCATTCAAGATATCACAACGTGTCATGAACTTATTGCTGAGCAAGCTGTGGAGCATATTCATCAAAAGTAATTTCCTCGAATATTTTTACTGTTCAGCTAAGTTAGTTCTCTAGAACTCGTTTCTCTGCCTTCAATGTGTTTAGTTTCGTGAATGTAATGGGTAGACCTTAGGATCTGGAAGGGTTTATTATAATTTTGGTATGGATAAAGGAGTTTTTCTTTGTTGCTATTTTGCTTGGATACAGTTTCTGGTTTGTTCTAGTATCAGTTTTAAGAGTGTTTAACGTCATTGTAGGTGCTTCTGATGTCTGTTGCCTTTCTTCTCTGGCTAATGCCTTAACATTTCCAGAGGAAACTATTGTATGTTCTTTTTTTTGTTAGAAACTATTGTATGTTTTGGTGTCATGCCTATTATCTACTTTTGTTTAAACCACAAATTTCCTTTCAGCCTTTTAACTTGGACTTGATGAAGCAGTCTACCTGAAAATAAATGTCACATTTGGTTCCTTTTTGTTATGTGCATAGATGTAGATGGAAGAAGTTATTTTAGTATTTAATTTCTTCATGGGTGATATTGTTACTGCCTTGACTAATTTGGTTATGAAATTGTCTTCAGTGAGGTAATATTAACTTTAGGCAGTTCAAAAACAGTGTTAGAGTTCCTGTGTGCTGCAAAAGAGAAGAAAAGATCATTTCGTGTATTTGTTGCCGAGGGAGCTCCAAGGTTTGTGTATATGGCTACTTTGTAAAGCAAATGAAATACTTTTTTGTTTCTTCGTATGAGGTACATTTCTCTAAACACATTCATTTGTAAATAGGTACCAGGGGCATCTACTGGCAAAAGAATTGGTTGCAAGGGGATTGCAGACCACCTTGATTACTGATTCTGCAGTTTTCGCTATGATTTCTCGAGTGAACATGGTATGTAAATGGGGACTTCCTTTTCCTTTTTCCTGCTGTTCAAAGAAGGCTATGAATAATCATTCTTCCTGAAATTTCTTATATATAAAGGTTATAGTGGGATCTCACGCTGTGATGGCCAATGGTGGGGTCATAGCACCTGTTGGAATGAATATGGTTGCACTGGCAGCTCAAAAGCATGCCGTCCCTTTTGTTGTGCTCGCTGGCAGTCACAAGGTAATTTTAGTGTATATAGGAGCTTCTACCTGTCGTGGACCTATGGTAATAAGCAAGTAGACTTCTACTTTGTTTTGCCAGTTACTGCTCGTCTCTCTTTTATCCCTTTTGGTTTCTGTATCTAATTTCCATGGTGAACCTTTATCAGATTTTCCTTTGTTTGTCTTGTTTGGTAGTTGTGCCCCTTGTATCCTCACAATCCGGAGGTGTTACTGAATGAACTGAGATCCCCATCGGAGCTGCTAGATTTTGGAGAATTTTCTGATTGCTTAGATTTTGGGAGCGGTGATGGTTCTCCTCTCCTTCATGTTGTCAACCCAACATTTGATTATGTCCCACCAAAGGCAGTTAGTTTGTTTATCACAGACACGTAAGTTGCACCTCTTCCACGTCTATTCTGCGCATGCCATAAAATGACGTAATATTTGACAACTTTCTGCAACTCGTATGACTGATCTGGAAACTCTGCATATCTATTTATTCATTTGTTATCTTACCGAGGACTATACTTCGTTCACTAGACTCACTGGTAGATCTGTAAGTGTGCATAAGATTACATGTAAGTTGCACCTCTTCCACGTCTATTCTGCGCATGCCATAAAATGACGTAATATTTGACAACTTTCTGCAACTCGTATGACTGATCTGGAAACTCTGCATATCTATTTATTCATTTGTTATCTTACCGAGGACTATACTTCGTTCACTAGACTCACTGGTAGATCTGTAAGTGTGCATAAAATTACATGTAAATATTTGCATATATAATGACCATGATGCTGCTTTTCCTTGTTACTTCGGCAGTGGTGGACATAACCCTTCCTACATGTATCGGCTCATTGCTGATTATTATTCAGCTGATGATTTAGTGGTGCAAAGAAGGCACGCAGCAGGGAATTGAATTTGTGAAGAGAAAGAAAAACCCTTTGGCAGTATTTGACTCAATTTATTAGCCAATACTGCTGCCGTCGAAGAAGAAAGAAGCGAGCATATTATCAACATGGAGGGAACATGGGGAGAATGAGGCTAATTGACTAGCCAATTTTGTGGCTGTGATAAAAGCAAAAAGATGCACCAAAATCTGCATCAGATTGAGGAAAATGACTGTTTTTAACTATGAGTGTGGTAAGCTTCTTGTATTTGCCTTTGCCCAGAAAATGAGTCATGACACGGGCTGCAGTGTTTTTTCGCAGTGACAGTTTCAGGATGTTCTTCACTCGTAGGCCTACTCCTCGGGGAAATTTTGATCTTAGATGGTTTTATGTAATTGAAAGAAGTTTCGGATATACTTATAGTACCATGTACTTTTTTCGCGTTGACAGTTTCAGGATGCTCTTTACTCGTAGGCCTACTCGGGGAAATTTTGATCCGAGATGGTTTATGCAGTTGAAATAAGTTTCGGATATACTTATAGGGGTCATTTGCTTCAAGGATTTTGACGTGGGATTTGGTTCTCAAATACAACACATGAAGAATTTGTCCAAAAGCCATTGTTTGTTGAGCCAAAATGGAGGGTACCAAATCCGTGGGGTCCACTGATTTGGGGCTCCGAATCCGTGGGCCCCACGAATTTGTAAATCCCACCTCATACCCTGGGATTTGGAGACAAGTTGAAAAATCATCAAATCCATGATAAAAATAGCTCAACAAATAAAAGATTTCCTCAAATCCATAATGCCCAAAATCCCTAATAAATCCCAAGGTTTTTAATTAGCAAATTCATGATAAAACTGTCGTTATAAAACCCTTGAAGCAAACGACCTCATAGTTGCAGATGCTGCTTTCCTTCTCGGGCCTCAATTGGTTAGCCATACATCTGGCGAGAGGGGAAATGAGGATATTATGAGAATTGAAGAACTTGATTGTTCGTTTGAAAAGAATGGATTTGGTACAACAATAAAGCAAATGCAGACAGGTTCCTTTATCTTACAACACAACAAGAACTATGAACTTGATTGTTCGTTTGAAAAGAAAGGATTTGGTACAACAATAAAGCAAATGCAGACAGGTTCCTTTATCTTACAACACAACAAGAACTATGAATACATCATTGGCGGTCTAAATCGAACAAGAAGTAGAAACAAGCACGAGCATAAATATAACCCGAACATGTTGCAAATCCCGGTCTCCATTTGTGAGTACATCCTTGGCACCCCCTTCTATTCGGGTTTTAGAGACAACAACACTATTATTGATGCTCATCCTGTTCTTGCTAGTGGAAGAAGCAAAGACCTCAAGCCTGGTAGCACCTGCTGTGCTCACAATAGGTAGTCCAGAGGGTTAGATTCACATTGAAGTATGCAGCCATCTACGGTCAGCCTTCCGCTTTTATGAAGCAAGCAACAACCAAGCTCTGTTCTGACGGTTAGGTTCATCAATTTGCAAGATGAAATGCACTCCAGCGCACTTCTCAAAAATCATATGGTAGAGAGAGAATATACCACGACTGTTGATAGCTTTTTCAAGAAGTAAACAAGTGGATAATGGTGAACTTCGTCGATTCCACCATCGAAAGAATTAATAAATCTTTTTCTCAGAAGATAAATAACTTGAAGGAGGCTCCCAAAATATCACCATCAATACAATTTACGAAAGGGATGGAGTTCTATGTACCTGTCCGAACCTCTAGAGCACAAAACCGTTGTTTCATCTGGGATGTCACCTCCACCAATCTGAAAAACGCTTTTGATTAGACAGAATAAATTAGTTAATTGAGTGATTTGGTTTTCTACACCAAACTAACCATTGCTCTCAATTGGAGTTGGTTGGGAGATAAATGTATTGTTATTTAAATATTGTTTTATTATTATTGTTTCAAAACTGATAAAGAATATACAACCCACGTAAGCAAGAACCTTCTATAAATAGACCGCTCATTTTTGTTTTTGAGGTAACTTATCGCAAATTCATCAAAATTGATTTAAAATCCATCTCAAACCCAAAGAACTCACTTTCTTGGAACGAGATCGGAAAGGGCAACCCCATACCCAAAAATTCTATCTTTGGAGACGATTCAATACGCCGCTCCTGGTCACTCTTCTCTCAAATACTGACTTGAGTTTTGGATAAGGTGCCAGTCCTTGTTTAACACAATCAGCGGTCCTATTTTCACAGGTTGTCAGCTCGTAGTTTGATTTTGGCCGATGCTCAAAAGTTCAACGCTCTCTAGACGTCTAACATATTGAAGCATGCTTCTCTAAGCTCGGCATCAACACCATCATTGCACGCCCCTTCCCTCTTTTTTGAGGCATGACTAGGTGCCCTTCCTCTCTCCTTTTTTAGCGCCTCAATCTATGTTTCATTACCTTATGTTTGGTCATGACCTTATATTATCTACACCAATTGTTTTCAGCTGCCCCTTCTTTGGAATACGTCTGCCCTTTTGATCTGTGCTCCATTACCACCTCGTTTTGGCCTCTACAGTCAGGGAACACTTTCGCTTAATTTTTATGTCAGTCGCTTCCATCGCCTCCTACATGACGCACCAATTTTTGAACCCCAACTATGAGAGTTCGACCTCAATCTCCATTTTCGTGCACCTTACAAGTTAATAGTCTCTAATGAGCTTGCACATGTCAACAAGGAATAGTTCTTCGACGATCAAGTCAAGAGTGTTATTTCTCTAAAGAGAAGTATAGAGTGCAGTTTTTAGTGAGAGAAACAAACCTCCTAAGATGTGGCTACCTTCCCCCTATTTATAGTCGATGTTTCTCGACAGCTTTTTCCCACACTGGCCTTACGTCTTTATCGCATTAAATGTTTTGTACTCTTCTAAAGTCAAGTGCCTTGATAGAAACTTGTAGTGGCAGTCTGACAGAGCTCCGCATGGCATGACATATGGTGTTAGTTTTCAACCTTATATTTCTTGCCATGTTGTTTTTGTCATTAAGTGCCTTCAACTGTCTTTTTGGGATTAGCCAGATTGGGTCGACCTTACATGGCTAACATTTTAAATTTAGGTTATAGGAAATTCACAAGATGCTTGTAAAAAATTGATTTACACGTAACTTTCAAAATTCTCAGTGGGTTGCGACTCCTCCGAGATCAGGTCTCACTACAAAAAGACAGACATTTATTATCAAAACCTACCGACGACGGTGTTTTTTCAGTAAAAAAATTCATCATTTCCAACGAAAAGTTCAAGTTGTTGTTATAGAACATATTTTTATGATAAAAAATGCACGTGTTGGAAATTATATTTTAGGTATAATCGAGGGATCGTGCGTCAGTACTTGTGACAAAAATATTTTTATCGTCTTTATATTTGTGACTATCTTTGTGTGTATTTCTATTTACTACTAAACTCCTGTCCATTCAATCAATGTCGCCAGTCGGTTCATCCCCTTCATCCCTTCCGATTAAAACTGCATTCATCCCTTCTGAATTAAACTGCAATGATTCTACATACAGACGATTGAGCTTTGAATTAGGGAATTAAAGGGAGAAATCATAAGCATACGGTTAATTGATTGTTTGTTTTCATTAAATAGGAATTAATTGAATGTTTCTTCTGTCCCTCTTCCGTGCAATATATTGTCGGAGTTCATGAATCCAGGCAAACGTCGAACGAATGTAAAACTGAGAAAGTGAGGTGAATAAACGATTCGATTTCTGCAAAAATATAGTACATAAGGGAGTTATCTAGGACCACGGATCGATCTCTTTTGTAGAGAGAACGATTCCCAAAATTTCCTCCGCCATATTTGTTTCAGGCGCACACCACCAGATTTGGATCAGTCGAACATCGTTGGTGGAGAACTGGATAACTTGAAAGGTAGGGAGTAGAATCTCCTTGACCATTGACGACAGAGACAGTTGACGGAGTGTCGCTGGCTGGGGCCGGTGTTTTGTTTTTTTGCTGTTGATAAGGGTAGATATATATTTGAGACTCTTTTTTCTGTTTGTTAAATGTAAAATTGTTATTGAGATATATTTTTTTAATTAATGTGAATTATATATTTTTTTGTTGGTGAATGAGAATATATAGGGTAAATAAATTTTTTTACTCACATTTAATTTTTGATGTTATCGTCTTAATACCATCTATTTCCTTGGTGTAGGTATAACATCAATTGATAAATCTGGAATACAATTAAAGAATCGGGCATTTATGCAATACATAGATTGAAGATGAGAATGGTAACAGTGATGTCGATATGGACTTGGATGATATGCTCGGTATTCTTAATGGTAATGGTTATGGCGCAGTCATTGTCAAATAATTATTATGCAGCAAAGTAGTTAAATGAAGGGTCTTGAGCTACACTATGAAAAAATATACACCTATTTGGATGACTGCATCATATATTACGCGATCTATAGAAGGCAACATCTTGCCCATCACGCGAGAAGTCAAGGTACAAGAAAGTTTATAAGGATAAGAAGGGAAGAGTGTAGAAAATTCCCTTCAAAATTTTAAAGTATTTGATTCGGGTCTAATTGTATACTTTTTATCCCCGATTCTCTTTGACGATTGTTGCAATTGAACTCCAAAAAGGTTGGTTTTACGCGAGGTTTCTTGTGTTTCAGTGTGTTTTAGATCCTAACAGGTAAAACCAAACCCGGAGTCGAAATTTGGAAGAAAAGGAGCAAAGATGGGCAAAGAGGTGGAGACATCCATTGTTCACGGCCCGACGTTGGAGTTCACGGTCTTACAAGGCCATGAACTGGAGCCAAGACCTATGAAACAAGGAGCGATTAGAGTGGGTTTCCAGGTTACTGACGCCAAGGATGTTCACGATCGCTAAGACCATGAATAGAGGCCACAGACCGTGAACCCGAGCCAATGAAGCGGTGCGTTTTGATCTCAGCACTGAGTTCATGGATGCATTTCAATTTTCACGGCCGTGAACTGGGCACGATCTCAATAAAAAGGCAGCTGAAAGGAAGAAGGAAAGGGGAGAGAGACCTATTGTGAGAAAGTTCTCCTTCTTCATATTTTAGATTGAGAAAGTGACGAACCAAAGAAGAGGAAAAGTTAGGGTTTCATCTCCAAGCATGGATTTGGGTTTCTTCAGCACAAGGAGCAAGGTTTGCATCTTCTTGATGGTTTTCCTTTCCCTCTCTTGTGTTTTCCCTTCTCCTGTCATGGAGTAGTCCCTTCTTTCACTTGTGTGTTTGTATACACTAGCTACAATTATGTAAATACTTGTATGAATTGAATGCTTTGTGTGTAGTTGTTTTTTCATGTGAATATTATTCAGAAATGATTGTGTTGTGTGAAAGCCTATCAATCTAATTGTCATTCTAACCTAACTTAGAGAGGAGACCTCCTTAGGTTAAGAGATACCATTGGAGATGGGTGTTCTTGAGCATTTCATGACTCCTAGGCTATTTTAGAGAGGAAACCTCCTTTACCCAAAGAGGCTCAATTTGAGTTGGGTTTCCTTGGGCATTCAATGCCTCCTAAGCTAGTTTAGAGAGAACCCTCCTTAACCTAAGAGGCTCTATAAGAGATGGGTTTCCTTGGGCATTCTATGCCTCCTATTCTAGGTTAGTAAAGGGCCAATTACACGCTAAAACACAACACCTAACAATGGCCAAGTGTAACCAATGAAAGGGACTGCAGTATAGTGGCACAAGTAATAAATATCGAATCCACGGGTCTCTAGAGTTACTATTACTCAGCTTTAGTTCATTATCTAGCAAACTAGATTAAGGATTGATTAACTAAACTACTCTACTAACTAAACTAAGTAAAATTACTAATTACAGTTTGGGAACTCACTTAGGTATGATTCCCCCTAACTCCTCAATTAGGTCCAAGTTGCAATTACCTCTGGTTGATCTACTGTTGATTAAACTGCGGAAGATCCTAAATTAGCTTGGAATCTCTTAAGCTGACCAAGCCCTCAAGCCAACTACCCGACAGACGACTAGTATTCACCAGGATAGAAAGCTGAGGCT